CAGTGTTCTCGAATAGGTGAGGAAAGTAGAAATAAATGCATTTTGTACATAATCTGTGTATGGCTATCACTTCCGCAAATCTCAGTATGCGTTCCTACCTGTTTCTATATGAAACTGTGCAAGATGTTTGAACATTAATTTTGTGACCTGTTTCTACAATATGTTTAGCTATAGATGAAGAGGGTCGCCTCACCACCACTTGCACTTACCAAAGTTTCATACTCCATTTCTTTTTGAAGCCCTTTAATCACATGTTATCCTATCTTCAACTCCATGGCTCGGTTACTTCTCTATATGTATGTGTGATCGTATACACATGTAAACTAGAAAATGAAATATGTGAATATGAAATTCTAAAAAGGGACTAATTGTTTCAAAATTTTTGAGGAAAAGACTCCCACCATACATTGTTACACGGTTAGACTAACTCTAACCTAAAGTGTAAAATCGTATCCAAAAAAGTGAAATTGGAATTTTAAAAATCCTGTACTTCTGACTATATATTTCCCAAAAATCTTTGCAAAATGTTGTCATCCTCTAAATTGTAACCCACACTTTCAAATCTTGTTCGGCTTAAAAAATCCCATATAGACAATTGCAATGACAAGTTATGCGATTTGACTGAAACGCATGCTGTTTCTTCATCTGTGATGTCAGATATTTCTCTTATTTGCCACATTATATTCATCAACTTTTGTAAGTTCTGTTATCAGTAAAACGAAGAAAAGAGCAAGGCGAAAATTGTCTTGATCCCGCTCTAATGACATTCATATAAACTCATTTCCATGCGATTCAGATAAATGTGACTAGTTTGTTCCTTGCTGCATTTTCAGTTCATGAGAAAGAAGCACTTTCCCTTGGATTTTTCAGTTCCACACACGAAAACTTCTTACTTGGATATTGATGCTTAGTTTGAAAATCTCTATGACCAGTTGAGTCCTCTTACCCCGTCTTCAGGTAATCAAATTTAGTTAAAAGCTAAATTAGTTGATACTGCTCGTCAATCCCATAGTTTAGAAACAAGATAAAGGACCAGTATGAGTTCACAACCCTTCAAATCTTAGGGAGAATTAGGGAACACATCCGATATATTCATTCTCAAACCTGATAAGGGATCAGGCATTGTTGTTATGACTAAATTTGACTATAACAACAAAATTTTATCTATCCTTGGTGATGAAAGCAAATCCACAGCCAATGTCCCATCAGATTTTAGAAAATCGGAAGCAAAAGTAAACGCTAATTAAGTAAAACTTTTGAATATGAATGTTACTAGCAAAGAGAAATTTCATTTATAGGGACCTATGGGGTCTAAATTTCAAAATTTATACGGATTACCTAAGATTCATAAAACTAATAATCCTTTACGCCCTATATTATCTGCTTGTCGATAGTTGGTGAAAATGTTAAATCCAGTTCGAAACGAATTCTGCAGGTTCTCATTGGAAAATACTTTTCAATTTGTTGACTGTCTTGGTAACATGAATATCGAAACAAGACTATGTACTCTTTCGATGTAAATTTTCTCTTCACTAACGTGCCTTTATCTGAGACCAATAACATGTTCTGTGACAACATATCTTTTAGAAACCTCCCGTTGCCTATTACTACAGCTTTTCTGAGGGAGCTGTTATTGTTGTGCACTGGCAAAGTTAATTTCACATTTGAAGGTGAACGTCTTCGACAGGTTAACGGTGTAGTTATGGGTAGTCCCTTAGGACCAATTCTAGCTGATATTTATATCATATATCAAAAATCTTGCTGGTGAACTCATCGCAATGGTTCCTCTTTACAAGAGATATGTCGATCACATCATGATGATTTGTGAGAGGTATGAGGATATGGACCGTCTACTAAAAAGACTTAACACCGAACAAGCTCATATCACCCTGCATTTTGAGAAAGAGCATGAAAATCATCGGCTATACGTAGACGTACTCCTGAGTCGACGAGATGATTTAGTAACACAGTTAACCTACAGAAAGCCTAAATGGATGAGACAATATCAGAATTTTCAGTATTTGTTTGATCCAAAACAAGCGAGGTCTAGTAAAATACCTGTTCAATAGGACCTATCGTATCTGTACATAAGGTACGACAGACGAAGATACCAAGTTACGGACCAAAACACTCATGGGAAACGAATATCCGTTGTAGACGTAAGGTAGCACCGAAGCCAACTCTATACACGGTTCCTAAGAAAAGCATCTATATCACTCTACCATACAGAAGAGGAGTTGAGTAGTATAATTTTGAGATGTAGGCTGACATCAGCTATTAGGAAAAGATACTGCGAAGCCAATCTTATTCTTATGGAAAAAAAACAGGGTTCACCGCAAAGCTAGACACTACTCCAGTGATTACCTAACATCCCACTGTGTTTAGCAGTTTGCATGTGTGTATGGTCACACATACATAGGGAGGAGTAATCGAACCATGGAGTTGAAGATAGGATAATAAGTGATTAAAAGGCTTCAAAAAGAAATGGAGTATGAAACTTTGGCAAGTGCAAGTGGTGTAGTCTGACTTTTTGAACTACAAAAGGATTCTAAACCGCTGTAACATAAGAGTCCATAGCGACATATTTACCTATCAGAAAAACCTGGCGGGGAGGTTACAAAAGCAACCCCAAGAAACCTGTACCGCCTCATGTAGAAAAGTAAGCCGACCAGCAAGGAGTGAATCTTATCACAGGTCCTGATGGGAGTGCACTAAGCAGTCTAGAGATATCCGAGCTTCTGCGCTAACACTTCCAAGCCCAACTCATTACGGACACCAAATCCACACCGACTCGTTACTACATTGACCAGGCCATAAGTAACAAATACTTCTGCCGCATCTCTATCAAAGAGAAAAAAGTGAGTTGGAGAAACTATCTATGCTACGTCTAGGCAAGTTCCCTGGCTGCGATAACCTAAAACCGGTAATCCTAGACAATTGCACCAAGGTGCTTGCAAAACCAATCTGCAATCTCTTCAAGCATTCAATAGTCATGCAAACTCCCTAAAGAATGGAAGTGCGGCATCTTGTCACCCATCTTCAAGGGAGGAGACAGAAAAAGCCCTGGCAGCTGCAGGCACATGGCTCTACCCCCCAGTGTCGAAAGCGTTAGAAAGCCTGGTAGCTGACACCATCTGGGAATTCCTCAACAGGGAAAACACGGTCCATACTGCTCAGCATGGATTTTGGAGTGGTCACCCATGTGCTACCAACTTACTAACCGCCTAGACACTCAGCTGGACCACAGAAAACCGGTACATGTTGTATTTCTCGATCTAGTCAGAGCATTTGACAGTGTCTTACACACAGTCCTGCTTCACAAAATCATGTCAGCCGGTGTAAGTGAACCCCTACTCTCTTGGTTCAAGAAGTACCTAGAAGAGAGGCAGTTCTGCACCACAGTAAACAGAATAAGGTCGGAGTGGGGACCATCGATATCAGGAGTGTCCCAAGGAGCAATCCTAGGACCACTTTTGTTCACCCTATTTGCCAGTGATCTGCCACATAAAATATCCTCATCCATCCTCCTCTTCGCTGACGCATTAGAATTTGGAAGGTAGTAAACGAAGAAGCCGACTGCACAGCACTACAAAATGACTTGCAGCAACTTGAATTCTGGTCGTCGGAAAATGGTTTGAGCTTCAACCCGGAGAATTGCAAAGTAATGCACATCAGTAAACGTGAAGCAAGTGCGGCTGACTTCCAGTACATGTTGAGCAACCAAACTATCACTAGTGTCCACGGAGAAAGATTTGGAGCTCAACTTCTCAGACACCTTGAACATCAGCTCCAACTACAGGGATATGACAACCAGAGAGAACGCCATTTTGCACTTTCTGTGTAGACAGCTTGGCGCCCTCATCCGCGAACTCTTCCTCGCCGTCTTCAAACCCTACGTTCGGCCGCACCTAGAGGTATTCCATACGGTGGCCCCCAACACTCAAGAGAGACTATAATCTCCTTGAAAAAATACGAAAAAATACTGCAACAAAATCAGTTGTGGGACTAAGAGGGAAGGCATATCCTGAAAGACTAAAACACCTAAACCTATTCATCTTGGGCTATCGCAGGAAAAGGGGGTGACCTTATTATAGCCTGCAAGATCGCCCATCAGGCAAACCACGCAAACAAATTAATCTTGCCTGTATCACAGCGGTCATCACGAGGAAACCCCATTAAGATAGCACATCAGAGAGCCAAAACCATGCCCAGGTCCAATTTTTTCTCCCTGAGGGTGTGCTTTATGGAATGCCCTACCGTGACATATCGTCATAGCTCCCTCAGCTGAATCATTCAAGAGATGGTTAGACAGTTATATCACCTCGCGTGGTCTACTACGAAGGTAGTCCGGGAGTCACCAACTTTAGTGGCCCACCCTCACCTCCCTTCTACCTACCACTCACTATATCTCTCCTTAATACACCCACATTACCTACTAATTCTTCTCTAGAAAATAGACCTACGCTACCTACTTTTACCTTTCGGGCAACTCCCATATACCTTTTTTCGTCTTTTATTTCCTTCCTTTTTTCACTTTTCTTCTCTCCCCTTTTTTATTCCTTACTACCCTACTATTCTCATCCAAATACATACAAAGATAGGAGTCACGACAGTCCCCTAACCATCCCAGCAACCCGTGGCACCCCAATCATTCTACAAATTACTAACCCACAAAACATCCACCTCACCGAAGCTAAAAGCAAGAAAGGAGAGGGGATTTCCTCGTCCACAGCAGGAGTGAACCGACCAACTCGAACCAAGCCCTAAGAACCAGACGCGAGAAATCAAAAACTATCAGTTTTCTACGCTCGCACCATTAATATGGGACACTGGACCCTCTTCATCTATGGCTAAACATATTACAAAAACAGGTCACAAAACTAATGTTCAAATAGCTTTCGCAGTTTCATACAGAAAGAGGCAGGGATGCATACTGAGATTTGTGGAAGTGATAGCCATACACAAATTGAAAGAAATATCCAACTGATGCAACTACGCAGTGAACTGAGAAATTATCTTTATTAAAAATAAAAAACACGTGGGTAGACGAAAGTAAGACAATAAAGGAGAAATTATGAATAAGTTGGGCACAAATTTATTTCAGGAAGTGAAAGTCGGTCTCTGGGAAAACTGATAACTGCCCTCACGAGTACCATTTGTGTACGCTACGCGTGTCTGTCACATTTTCATTTTCTCTGTTTACTTTTAGAGTGTTATTGTTTTTAAGTACTAACTGTAGATACTTTTTGGACTATTGCATGGTCGAATTTTACTCATGATTTAATTACAGGCTAAATATCATTCCAACAAATATCAATGTTACTTTTTTTCAGAAAATTCAGAAGTTGAATAAAGAATTTAAATACGAAGGCTGACAAATATCATTATGAGCAAATTTAAAACTAGAAACTGGCACAAGGGAATTATATGGCAATCATGTGTGCAAATTTTCAAAATATTCTGTTAATGAACATATATTATCCTCATAAAGTTATGAAAAAGTCTTGGTACGCCATGAGAATCAAGTAGGGTATGCAAAACAAAGTATACAAAGCGCCTTACAGAAATACAAAGGAAGACAGAAAAGAATGTAATGATCACGGAGAAAAGTATAGCTACAAAAATAATACCTCGATGCCTTTGCATTAATGTTCAATAAAATGAAATTATAAAATGATCACCTATGATTCACGAGACATTGAAATCCACTGATGAACATTACTAGCTTAGCTCAGTCTTTTTAGCTGTGATCTGAAGTTGATATTGATACAAACATTTCTAGCATTATTCACCATACTGTAAGCCTCTTCGTACGAAAAATCATAAATTATAACTAAGTAGGCAATAACAATGGATGGTGCACGTGAAAGGCCAGCTTGACAATGTACAAAACAACAACCTCCGCTTTGTCTTACAAGTTGCAAAAAGTCACAACACTGATGAATAGTATCACGTAGTTCAAAGACTAAAGTGTCATAAACTACAAGAGAAAGGTATTGAAATACTTCAGGAAAATAATTGGGTACAACATTGGAGATGAGATTAATAACATGTGTCACATTGTTAGCTTTCAATACATCCAAATTTCGAGCAACATCAACGGAACCTATAGGGTAAGATTTCATTTGCAATAGAACATACATAGAATTAACCTACCAAATAGAATTGTAAACTCGGGGAGATTAATTTTGCCGATTTGTAGATCAGGCTCGAAATTTGGAATATAACCATAACAGGAAAAATTTGGTTCTGGACGACTAGTAGCATTATATTCTTCAATTTCCAAACCGTACTTATTGCTCCTAATAACTGATCCATTCAGACGTCGAACTTCAACAATAGTTGGTTTCAATGAGTTGATATTGAAATTTCGAATCGCCTCTTTTATATTCATTCTGGAGAAGTTGAATACCTAAAGCTTTTTTAACTAAAAAGTAAGTAAACTCTCAATACAAAAAGATGAGACGAACTGAGTTCATTGGCAGATAAACAAGCTTAGAGTAAAACAGGAAATGGTCGATTAAATCGATGTCACTGTTGGTACCAACACTACTACAGTGACTAGCGACGACGATTTAAAAGTAGAACAGTGGAAACGACTTGAAACGGAATTCACGAGAAGCAAGACATTTTCCTACTGTTGCATCGAAAGGTTTATCATGAACAAACAACGCCACGTTATGTAAGTTATTGTTGGAAATGGTTCATGGACTTATCACCACAATCATGAGGTTTAATTTTCCGCTAAATTAACTTTAAAAATGTTATACTGACAGTCGATGAAAACAGATAAAGGTATTAGAACAACATGTTTAAGCGATGTTGATAATATAAATTGAATCAAACAACCTTACAAGATGGTCAGATAGATAGTACCGAAAATCTTTCCAATTAGAAGCATATCCCAGAAACAAGCCTACTTGATTTTTGAAAGTCGAAGATTCCAAGTACTGATGTATTTTTCACTAAATGACTGTCTCTGCATTTCCATTTTTCCAACAATGTACTGTATTTTGTGCCGAAATGCTGTATTAATTATTTGGTTAACTCTAAAGGCCATTCTGGAAACTACTGAAGTAGCCAATGAGGTTTTTTCATTTTAAGAAAAACTATCTTTCTAACCGAGATCTAGAAACTTAATTGGTTGCTTCTGTGGTTGCTAGGGTAACCTTCCAAGTCCCTAAATGTCAACCTAATTTCGCTGTTCGTATGTTCTAACCCGTTCCTATCGACCAGAGGGTTAAAGTACCCTGATCATCAATCTCGTTCCAGCAAGCTTTAATAGAATAACCCATCTACTGAATCCTTTGTCAGCTAGATGGAGCTGAGAAGAGTTGGTAGTGTTCTTGTATTTTCAGGGACTCATCGTCATAAAACTACACCTTAGCTGTGTCAAGGAGAGTAAGAGTTGCTATACACACTGATTTTAGCAGAATGCTACGACTGAATGCTTTCTATACATTGAGTTGATTAGAATTAATTTAACAAGAAAACTAAGCATGAATACAAAGGACAATCTCTAAAACAGCTAAGTATAATGCGCTGAAAATATTGTTGTAAGAGTTGGGAGTTAACACGCTTCCTGAAGAAAAAAAGCCTGATTAGTAATTGAGGATGAAATCATGTTCAGCAACTGACTTCAGTTATCACAACAGAAAAACCAATCAACAATGCGAAAACAAAAATCAAATGAGAAAATAAATTATGAGGTGACATATGGGAAAAGAAAAGCCAAGTGATGAAAATTTCCAGGAACGAAGAACATTGTAACTGGACTTCAAATATCAGTTCCTGACAGCTTGTGCATTTCATGAAGCTTTCTTTGTACCCAGAGCCTTAAAACAACAAATAAGGAGTTCGTGGTTTCAGAGGCATGGTAGTCCATTGCCACTTCAACCGGATCTAATAGTCTTCAGTCGTGTTCGAATCCAAAAGTGGTTACCCAACAATCCCAAGAAATAAAAATGTCACCATGTAGGTACAAGTGATGGGATATTCTACTGACTCCATCTAAACAACTGGCATAGAATATGTTCATCCTCATATCATAAAGTCTCAACAGCCAACTCCTGACTGAGGAGCAGCAGACAGGAAAAAGGTGCACACTATATTAGTTCTTTGATAAGCATTCTAACATAATACAAGCCTACCAGGTGACGTAAGTTTACAAATATCAGATAGGCTTCCTGAGTCCGCAATGTAGGTTCACTGGATATTGAGAACCAAAAATGACTCAGCCCAGAGTCAGCAAAAGTGATCAACAAGTTCAATATATCCGGCTGTTTTGCTGGGTTGTGTAGCAATCGGAGCGAATCCCAAAGAATATCACAATTAATTGATGCAAAGTGCACATTATAAAAAGAATTTCATGAATGCATGAAAACGTTTGTCTTGTTAGCGCCCAGTTTAAATTCAATCCCTAAACCCATTTGACTTTTTTTCATGTAAAAACCAAGAAAGTTTTTAATTTGAATGCCAACTTCACATTCACAAACTGATAATGATTTACTTGCTCGGAAAGTATTCTTGATTTATGAATTTAAATTCACATTAATCTTATCACTCATTTGTTCACTGTCAAATGTTTGAATACCCGCTACGTAGCTTTCGTCGCAATAACATATCCTGACAAAAAGAACAACAAACAAAGGATTATAATTTGTAGAGGGTATTGACATTATCCGCGAATAAATGTGGAACCAATAGTATTTAATTGAGATCGTACATTTTTTTGAGAATGGAATTTCCGATAACTTCATTCGCTGAAGTCTCCCTTATGTTAAAATGTGACATTATTGAATTAGAAACTAAAAGGCAACTGAAATTCCTAGTCACATATAGGCGATATATAATAATTAACAACAGCTACTGCCCTCGATTAAATTTATGGTGAGTTCATGTAATGTAGAATAAATCAACTTGTAGGTAAATTTAAAATAAATACACACACAATAAAAAGGTTTTAATGTCTTGCTATAATTAAGTGCAAAATCTCCACCTGTGATTCAAATAATGATTTGAATTCTAATGGCAGCCAACATTTTCACAAGGCAATGGAGCAAAATTGTATTACAAACCCTAGGTAGAGCGAGTGGCCTAGCAACACTTCCCCGTTTTTTCGACTCTCTTCACTACTTCTAAGAATTACAGTAAGCACATACTGTTATTTCCGGTTTAGTGAATACTCGAGTGTTCACACACAAAACAATGGGTTTAATAACCTAGTCTGGTCAGGATTTTGATGAACTACAATGTGCTGGCACACTGAAATTCATCAGCCCCAGCATTAGGTACAGCCAGGCTTGGTTGCAGCTATGCTCTTCAAAATCCAACATCATTAGTGCGCTCACGCTTCTAGCTACACCTATAGTTCTTGATGCTCGGCTCAAGGTATGGTGGGTCACTCAATTTTGCATCGTAAACCTCTCTTGAACAGTACCCTGCTTTGCTCCGACCCCTAGATGTGTAAGTAAGTATGATACCCCTTTGTATTAAAATGAAAAAAGCAAAAAGTAAAGACCGGATAACTCCGACCTTGACACGAATTTCCCTCTTTAAAACTCATATTCACTTTCTGAGGAGCAAAATATGCAGCAGTAAAACACATCATCTTATGTGCTTATTGATTTATTATTGCTACTAGAAGGATAGGGACTGGTTCACTCAACTAGCAGACAAAAGATGAAATGTAGACACAGAATAGTTTGAAAAGTTGTAAATGAGCAGCATTTTGAAAAACGCTGTTACTTTTCCTAACGATGGTGAAAACCATCCACAGGCGCTTCTTACTTGCTATGCGTTATCTCTTCCTAAGTGAAAATGCTCATTTTTCATGTTCTGAATGCGTACTTTGCTTATTCGAATGGTTTCGAAAGTGCCTTCTGCAAGTAGATCGTTTTTTGTATCGTTTATACTTATCTAAGGTATCAGCTGTGCTTCTATGTCGCAGATGTGATGCTCGTTATTTAAAATGAAATATGTGAGGCTTCAAGCTGCAGTCGAAAATTTCTTTAGTAGCAGTTCTAACTGCGAGTCATGTCATAATTGGCAGATGTAGGTGTAAGAAAAATCGAAAGAAAATAAAGACAGCCATGTATACAGCAGTGCTCTGTTAACAAGCAGAAACGGTTAACGCACAACAGGCAACCGACTGCTTTATTTGAACTCCACCGATAACTAAGAAAGAAGTATGAAATATATATTATGCAGCTTGTGGAAGCGCTATGAATTGTTGGGGATTGTTGTCTATTCGGATTTTTGTTCATTGCTCCAAATATACCATTTTTTTATTGTTGATCAAATTCAGGTCAAAGCTGGTAATTAGCAAGAACTAGGGCCTTGGCCCACCTAAAGTCACAAGAAGTTGATCATTGAGGTACGTCGGGTGAAATAGCCAAGAACGGTTGAAGTCAGTGAACATTTGCACTGAAACTCGTTTTCATGCGAAAGCTGAGCAAAAACTGCAAACTTTACTTGTTAATGACGGACACATATGTGTTATAACCTCTACTCTTGTGTTGTAATGAAACTGGGGTGGGGACGGGATAAGCTAACAGCGAAAAGCGTTAATCTAGCGTGAAGCAACTTTGGTCAAGTAAATACTTGCATAAATAGATGCTTACTCAAAATGCCTTTTCACCTCCACGTAAATAGTACACGGAAGCGCTTTCAACGTATTGTAGCTCTAATCACCACCTGCCATAACTTGTTTGCCTGAGGTGCACAAAGCTTGCTTGTAGAAACGATGTATCGCTATAAAGTAGGAAATGTACTGCGTTTTGGAAACACTGCCTTGTGTCCACCGTAATTCAAAATTCTTCGTTCATAAAGTGGTGGCGAGGGAGATGGGACTTGAGCATGCTCATCATGGATACACAGTGATGAACAAATGTTCACCATCGCTGCCATAATGCTTCATATCGCGCCTAATAGCCCGGTGAATATTCGTCGAATTCTGTTCAATTTCGAGGTTGACTCGGAAATTCCTCACCTACAGATGATGTTGTGCTTATATTCTTGCATTTTTGCATGCTGTTCACAGTCACAGCTGAAGTGGCGTCAGCCGACCATTCAGAAGAGAACATTGCAGTAGATGCATGAGTTTACGTAATAGTGGCTGAGTAAGCTGAATCTTAACTACTCGTGCCTTCCGTTTACTATCAAGAGGCCTCATGGTAGGGTCTCCAAGCAATGCCATAGGGACGTCCATTGCAAGTTGCACCATTGAAAAGGAGCTGCTTGGAGACTGGGACAGCAATATTTAGGAAACGTATTGGTGAAATTAGGTAACTGAAATCTAATCACAGGTTTCCAAGACTCAACTTATAGCGGGAATAGAGAAAACAGAGAGCGAGGAACCAAGGCTCAACGAGGTTGTTTGCTTGTATGCATTTGCATTTGTACTTGAAGAGTCACGACTACTATTTGTTTAGCACCGAGTTTTTAGTATAGATCCTGATTAAAAACACGGTATTCATTGCATTTACGTAATGCTTTTTTGGATGTATATTTGCGGATAACTATACTGACGACGGTAAAAGTTGGGAGGCATAGTTTTGCTGCTTAATTACCAAACCAGTTCCAGCTGTTATAATATTATCTATAAGATGTAGTGGGGAAAGTGCATGCATTTACCAGTCAGGGTGTGACACTTTATACATTTAGGCGACCCGTTAAACTGAGTATTGTGGGAGACAGCTGTAGTTCGTCCAGTATGCTCAGCAGTTTGCTGGAGGCTAAAAATCTTTCCAGCATACGACTGGACAGGAAAGTAGAGCTGGAGGCACCAATACTGACAGAAAGATGGTCCCATAAATAAATGAATAAGTATCTCTATCCTCAAGTTATTATTTGACATGAGAGAAGCCGGTTTACAAGTCTCATCGAATTGATAATTGCAGATAAACGTAAAAGGTTTGAGCAGTTTCGAGTGGTACAGAGGGAGGACATTAAACTCTATCATGATACCAAGTGTCTAAATGTTATGAAAATAGCAGGGAAATATCACTTTTTATCATATATGTGCATCGTTCTGAGTTTAAATCATTCCTAATCACAATTCTTTTTTCACATCAAACGGCGGAATGTTCGACGTTTGCGTTATTAGCAGTCGACATGATTGGCTCATCTGCAAAACCAAGTGTTACGTCGGATAAACGTCTAATTTCATAGTAATTCTTTTTTTCGCAGCTTCATTGACCAACAACAACTTACTTCAATGATTTCAGGGCTAACTGAGTATTCATACAACTATTTAACCCGGATGAGTGTCCAAGTTCAGGCATTTCTCAATCTTCAAGTGTTATCCTTCCCAGCGATTTAGATTGGTACTACTGGAAACATTTGTTGTGGGAGAGTCGTCGTTCAACAGCGGTGGATATTACACATATATAAAACTCCATAGACTTCACAATAAAGTATGAAGCATTGACTAGGACATACATTGGCTGTTAATTGCCTTTTATTAATTAGATTAGTACAAAACAAAGTGCCAGAGAAATCCGTTGCATGGCATTATTATGGATGTGTTGCCGTTAGGTAAAGTGATCTCTCGAGTTTGGTTGTCTATCTGGATCTCCGCTGCATTTGTTACGGACCAGTTATTGTGCTTGAGGTTTCAGATGTGGTTTTATTTAGGGTACTGGTAGGGAGGTGAGTTGGTTGTGAAGCTATTGAAGAAACAGGAAACTGGGGGTAAGCCAGCTGAATAATTCCAGCATCAGTTTCCGGTATTACGTAAGAAGTGGGATCTTCAGTAAGTCTATACTTTTCGATCAAGTCAAGGCTCAGAACTTTCTCGTCAGGCTGAAGCCGAAAAGAGAAGAGAAAAGAAAGTGCTTTAGAGTGTTTAGAGGGAAAAATGACTTGGGGGATGTTCCGAAAGCCCTCGTTTCGACACTTTAGGCTTGGTTGCGCAGACCACAGCAACCTTCAGGTGTAGAGTGGATTTTTCTACTGGCTGAACAGAATATTTTGCATTAAATTTTGGAGGAAAATATAAAGTTTGTCCCAGGGTGTCACATCCGAGGTGTTCGCAGATTAAGAGATGTACAGCGAGACATAACCCTGACTATACTCGCGACCAAGTAGCCTGGATGTAAAGCACCTCCGAACACTTTCAATCTTTAGTCTGTCGTTTTTAAGAATGCTCCTTAAGATAAATGACCAACATTCTAGCAGGGGGTAACGCAAGTTTTGCATAGCAATAGTTTAGCTTCATGGCTATGAAAATTACGACTTGCGAGTCTGTGTCGTAATATGCTCAGAGAGTATGAGGTCACTACAGCAGCTGAGCCTTAAGCCAAGGATGCTATGGGGAATAGGCGGCATCCCAGCTTGCAGAGACAACTGTAGACAAATAGAAGGTACAACAAAATACATCCAACTGAAGGTTTCTTGCGATGGACTATGTGCTTAACAGGTTAAATTCGTTCTTTATCAGCCGCCATGAGTACGGCAGGTCGTCATGCGGTAAAGTGTATGTGACCTCTGAATTACCGCTAAATAAAAGCGACCTCCTAGCTGAAAGGCATTTCCAAAGGTCGTTGACGTGAAGTATAAACGGAAGAGGATCAAGCACGCTATCCCAAGCTACACCAAAAGTAATGGGTCTAGGTTTCGAAAGCTGAGACTCCATTTTCACAACTTGCGAACGCCCACAAAAAAGGAAATAATGATAACAATATTTATTCCTGAATATACAGGCATACACCATTTTTGCAGGCATGAATAAGTTGATATACAAATTACATTCATCTTCATGGAAGGTAAACTGAATCCCTACCCGCTGTCACCATAAGATATAAGTGCTGCATGTTTATATAATGGAACATCCCAATAGAAGTGTGCAGAAAATTTCCAAGTTAGACAAGTGGAAGTATTGTCTTCGCATTAACAAAAAAACAGGTTTGTATCTGGACACTACGTGCATTACCCAAGGAAAAATAAAGCTTGAAGCTAATACTTCCATTGTAAAAGTTTCTACTTTTTTCCTGAGATAATGATGACAAGTTTGTGAGGGAATGTATGAACTAACTGTCCACTTTTTGTGCCTCATTGATGATTCCAGAACTGTATATAATGCCATTCCGCATAAGAGACTCACAATCTTCATGAATGTTACGATCAGGAGCCAAACATCTTCACGTTTCCAACTCCGGCATCCAGAAGCAATAGACTCGTTTGAATGAGCCAAATGGACTTCCAGGACATCTTGTCCGCCGTTTTCACCAGTCGTGATAGCCTCGCGGTCGGTAAGTGTCCGACTTTCTTGACAAGCTTCATAGCGAGTAAATCCCAAATTTTGGTAACTGTGACGTCGTAGTCCAGTGAACATTTGTTGTGGTTAGGCATTGTGAACCCATAAAAGCTGGTTACCCTTGATTGGGGTAGTTTCAGCCAAGGTCTATACCTTAAATACCTAATTCTCGACGATGGCTAAGCCAACATTTAGAGTTGAATCACTATTCTACAACGAGAAAAAACAGACAAAGTGGTAGACGAAGAAAGAAGCGAAAATTCTGGTAAGGAGAGTGCTATCAATGTTCGTCTTTTTCCCTGCTTA